CCCACTTATGGGGCATTTTACAAGGTCCCCCTTTCGTAAATTTTCGTTTTTTGAGATTTTCGGTTGTTCGGTTCGCACGGATCAAAACAAAAACAATTTTAAATGAAAGTAGAGCGTTTAAGCTTTAAAACAAGCTCAAGATGATCTTGGGGAAACGATTAGAAGCGGAGTTATGAGTCTTCAAAGTTGACGCGGCGCGCGGGAACCTTGTATGTTCCGAGTCTCAAGGTCACCTGCGCGCCTCGGATTGCCTGCAGGTTGCAAGTTTTTGTGTATTTATGCTTCTGTAGGTCATTTTTAATGTAAATCATTCAATGAAGATAGTTTAATCAGAATTTTTTAATTTTACACAATGGGCCTTCGGCGAGGTACACCACATTAACGTCAAAAAATTTTAACTGCGTTTCAAATAGCCCCCTCAAGAATAACTGAGACTTGTTTTGAAGCTCAAAGCTCGTCTGCTTCTACGAGAAACTATTTGGCTTTACCAAGTGAGTTCCGTCAAGCGCTGTAGCTTATAGCTCAATTAAAAAATTTTAAAATGAGGGGTGCCCCAAAATTTGGCATCAATGGGTTATAATTTCTAAATGGTTCAGTTCTGTATGGAGCATATGTATATTTGAACTGAAGGTCCAGGGTTTCTTCTAAATTATAAGAGCAGAATCGTCATCGTCAGCAAATGTTTAATGAGGTATGATGGACATAATGGTTGATACTCTAAGCCCCCTCTTGCTCCTCCCGTAAAATTAAAAAATTCTGATTAAACTATCTTCATTGAATGATTTACATTAAAAATGACCTACAGAAGCATAAAAACACAAAAACTTGCAACCTGCAGGCAATCCGGGGCGCGCAGAAGACCTTGAGACTCGGAACATACAAGGTTCCCGCGCGCCGCGTCAACTATGAAGACTCATAACTCCGCTTCTAATCGTTTCCCCAAGATCATCTTGGGCTTGTTTTAAAGCTTAAACGCTCTACTTTCATTTAAAATTGTTTTTGTTTTGATCCGTGCGAACCGAACAACCGAAAATCTCAAAAAACGAAAATTTACGAAAGGGGGACCTTGTAAAATGCCCCATAAGTGGGTCAAATTTTAAAATTTAATTAATTTCATACATATATTCTGAAAGCTCTCATTTTTCTGGAAATTTTGACACCAAGATCATCTTTCTACGACAAACCGTTGAGAAGTTATGCTAATTGAAAGGTTTTGACTTTGACCCCCTCTCCCCCCTTTTCCCTGGGGGTTAGGCAAAAAATATGACCAGTTTTGAGTGTCTGGGAAGACCCTCTATCATCCCTGAGAAAATCGTACGATTCCGTGTTTAGGCCGATTTGGCCGTTTTGTTGTAGGGTCCTTTCCTTTTGGAAAATATTATTGTTGAATAGAGTCATGAATATTTTCCCTTGAAATTGTCAGACATTCTAGATCGAATTACGAACGAAATCCTTTGAAAAATCTGAAGAGAGATATCTTTTTAAATATTCTCGAAAATTCGTAATATATCAAAAGAAATTTGGCAATGTCTAAAGGCTCATGCGGCGTTCTTCCTTAGCAAGGCAGTATATTGCTAATGTCTGTACATATGATGTTCAATTATAAAGAAAAATCAGAAGACTGCCGCGCAACGCAAAAACGCCGTGTACGCCATTTTACACTTTTGGGAAACAATGTATCAAAGCAGAAAAACTTGTGTACTTTGGGACATAGTTTTTACAGAATGTTTTCGCAAATACTATCAAGAACTTAGTCTGAAAGTTTGAGGTGCATGGGTAAAACAGTTTTTATTTTATTAAGTGTCAAGTTCCAAAAAACGAGGGAAAATCTTGGTGGATTTACGGCGTTCTTGCTTAGCACGGCAGAAGAATTCTCTATCAAAAATTGTCAGCTTTTTTCGAGTGAAAATTCAATCAGTGAATTTTTGCAACGCTACTGGAAATTCGCGATTTGTCGAGGGAAATTTAGCAACGCCTGATAATTCATACGGCGTTCCTCCTCAGCACGGCAAAACTTTGCTGCCATGCTAAGACAGAACCAGTTGCGTGGCGTGAATGATCGATTATCGTTATTTTCTCATTTGTAGCTATGGTACATAATTGATTATTAAAGTGTTCGCTGCAAACACCCTATTTATCGACCCTTTTCCATAGGTTTAAATGGGAGATCAATCGATTTATCGCAGAGCACGCCACGCCACTGGCCAGAACGTCGTATGAGCTTCCACACGTTGCCCAATTTCGAAAGATGATGTACGAGTTTCATGGTTTCCTGCGTTAAACCAAAGTCAGCGTAAAAAAAGGAAAACTCGTAATTGAAAATTTCGTTCAGGGGTCAAGGGAAATCAGGAAATTCAGACATTCTGGGAGCCCTTGAATTTTCAGGGTTAGTAAAATTTTTCATCAAATTCAGAGAATTTAATTCCAATTTCAATTTAAAGTAGTTACAAATTTCAAGGGAGAATGATCATATTTTCTTCGGAAATATATACTTTATCGGAGAAAATTTGGCCACGTCCAAATTTTCATACAACATTTTTCCTTGGTGCGGCGGTATGCGTCAAAAGCTTAGAAATATAGGATTCAACATTTTCGTGGTGTCTACAGAACTGGCAAGCGAGGCGTAAATTTTTCTCGAACATGTCAGGGATATCCAGAAAAATATTTGGAGAGGAGATACCACGAAATGTCTCGGAGAATACAAGAAAGTGCCAGAGAATTAGATGGGAAACTAGAGAGGAAACTGGAAATTTCCCCCGCATGTCTGTAAATATCCTCCTTTTGAGTTTCACGACCGTTTGAGAATTGATCTCGGATTATTATACGTACCTTTCATTCGGAAATCCATGAGCTTCACGGTGCATGCAGTGATGTTTCTCGGAAATTGAGATTACTACTTTACCAGGCTCCGCTTTTTTAAACGCATGTATACTGCTGTGCCAATGAAGAACGCCGTATGAACCTTTAGACGTTGCCACATTTCCTTCAATAAAACCTTAATTTACCGGGAAAATCGTGAATCTTTTCATTCAATTTTTCAGAGAATTTCGTTCGTAGTTTCGTCTAAAATGTCTGAAAATTTCAAGGAAAAATACACATAATCGTTCTTAAAAATACATGTCTTATCCGGGGCAATTTGACAACTCTCGAATGTTCATATGGCGTTTTTCCTTAGTACGGCGGTATAAGTATCGATGCTCATGATGCAGGATTTCTCACCTGGAAATGAAAATTTGAAATAAAAATTTGAATAAGAGATTTACGATTTTGTCAATTTATCAGAGTCTCTTTAGGGTGCATTTCGATGGTGAAACTGCAGCAATGCGTATATCGGTTGTGTTTTTTATCACGGAAGATTTGTCATTTTCATTATGCGGTTCAATGATGCTCGGTCATAAAAAAATCTAACTGATATCACTATATAACTATTGCACAGTGGAATGAGCGGATAGAAAAGGTCGACCATGATAATTTCAGCTAAAATTCCAAATTTTGATGTTTATTTTGTCACAAATTCAATTTCAAGGGCTGCCTCTCAAAGGAAATTTCTCGGAAAAACCAAAGGACACATTCTTAAACGTTTTTGTTTCATATTTTCGAAAATATAAGCGCTCAAAGTTTTCAGATTGTATGCAACTTCTCCCACTTACTCGGTCCAATGTGTGTCGTAGGCATTTATTCAAATCAGGCATTTTATCAAATGCCTAGGCAGACAGTCGAATTTTGAAAGTTCACGAAACGTCATAAGTTTAAGTTGAAAAGCTCACGAGTTTCCAATATTTTTGGAAAAATAACAACAAATTCACTTTCAAGGGCTGCCTCTCAAAGGAAATTTCTCGGAAAAACCAATGTACACATTCTTAAACGTTTATGTTTCATGTTTTCGAAAATATAAGCTTTCAAAGTTTTCAGATTTTATCCAACTTCTCCCATTGACTCGGTCCAATGTGTGTCGTAGGCATTTATTCAAATCAGGTATTTTATCAAATGCCTAGGCAGACAGTCGAATTTTGAAAGGTTACGAAACGTCGTAAGTTTAAGTTGAAAAGCTCACGAGTTTCCAATATTTTTGAAAAAATAACATCAAATCCACGAACTCCATTGTTTTCTTCCTTATCAAATACCCCTCACATATTTAAATCCAAAAATTTTCAAAAATTTCTTGTTTTTTGATATGCTGCAAATTTTAAGGTGAATGTTCGTTCAGCAGCCAAAATAAAAAACCGTTTAGAATTTACTATCCTATGATGCACGAATTTTTACAGAGATTTCTCTCTTACGTGATCGAAGAATGGTTTTGTTTAAAATTAGTAAAAGAATCAGGCTTTCAATCCAAGCAAGAGTACTTGACTACTTGCCCAGGCATTTGACTCTTTACCTTGGGATTTGGTAAGATTCTTGATTTAATACAATGTGCCTGCGGCATACCGATGACATAACGCGTAAAACAATTTAAGATAATCCTTAAAACTGTATTTTTTAATTTTTGAACCTTTTCTTTCGGTGAAAGAAAATATTATAGAGTAAACAAGGGCCCTTGACAATTTCTCCTCTTTTAAGTTTCATAAATGCAAATCCTGTAATCAGCTAATAATTTATCTACCCCAATACACTGGGAAAAAAAAACACATTGGAGCTAGAGTCCAGACTCTTGAAAACATTGGCAAGAGAAAGAACTCTTGATTCAATCAGATTTAAGCTGAAATCATAAGGAAATCCGCTCAAATTAAGAGGCTTGGTTCTTGATTTAAGCTTAAATCTGATTAAATCAAGAGTATTTTTCCTTGTCGATGTTTTAAGAGTCCGGACTCTAGATCCAATGTGTTTTTTCCCCAGTGTAGTTAAAAATTGTCTCGAAAAATGAAAGAAAAAACTGAATCTTGGCCGAATCAAACCTCTGACTTGTGCATAATCTGTGAATTTCAATCATAAAAAATCTTCACATATCGACTTCCATCTCTTACAATTTCGTTAGTGTTCTTCTTCTTCTTTTGTTACAGTTTACGGCGTGTCGATTGATCTGAAAGGGCCTATATTCACGGTAGAACCTCAGTACAAACTCCAGTTCTCCAATGACACCGGAGGTCGTGTCGACTGTGCGGCCCACGGAAATCCACCCCCGGACATCGAATGGACTCTCGGTGAGTACCTGCCTTTAAACAAGAGGACATCTGTTTGTACTAGAGTACCTTTCTGGGCAGAGTACGGCCATTTCTTTGCCGGTTTTTCATTGGTCGCGTGAAAATAGGCTGACACGATGTTCTTAAAGCCGTAAATAAACAAACAAGATGACTGTTATCAGCAAGCAAGTTTGAGGTTCTGCACATCTGAGATCCTCCTATGATAAAGGCGAAAGGCGATTTAACAGTGTTTTCGTGTGTTTTTCATGTGTTATTCGTAGATAAGTTAATTTAAATTGTTACTGTCGTGTAATTGAAATTTTTCTCAAATTTTAGCTTCCTATCAATGTCACGGTGAGCCGCCATCTTGTTTCTTTATTTACGGCCGTAAGAGTATCATGAAGTCTAAACACTCGTTGACCAATCAAAAAGCGGCACAGCTTTCCTGTAGTAAAAAGATACGAATGGTCATACTCTGTCTATAAAGGTTCTTTAGTTTATATACTATCGTCATACAGGTGCTGTAGGGTAAATTCACGAGGCGTTACATCGTTCATTCTTCAGTTTTAAACAAACGAAATTAACAAGAGAGGAAATCTGCTTTGCTAAGAAAAAACTCCGTATAAATCTCCAGGCGTTGCCAAATTTCTTTCGATAAAAAAAGAATCCCCTGGTAAACTGAGGAATATTTTTCTTCAAATTTTTCAGATAATTTTGTTCGTAATTTCACCTTAAATGGACCACTAGACAAGGTGCGAATTTAAGGAATCTGATACATGTTTCTTAACCAGAATTTCACGTAAAACACGATTTACACAACGAAAATTACTGAAACCAACTCCTAACGAAGATATTAACGTTTATATATCACATTGGTTACGAGGAATTTGAACTGCCCGCTCACAAGAAACTCAAAGGTCTACGTGAGTCAAATCGCGCACTACAACGGTTTCAACAAGCTTCTCAATCGATTAATTTTCATTTCCCACCATGTGTTGTTCAAACTATAAGCAATTTACTACAGCTGAGCCAAAGCGTCAAGATTGAGGTTGCCAGATTTTTATATCGCAGAGACTGTCATGATAACGTTCAGCGCGCGATGTCAATCACGTAGAGGATTCAGTTTTCATGAGCGGGTGGTCTGAATTCACGCATCAAGAATCATTAAATATCTTCGTAAGGAGTTGAATTCGGTAAATATCGTTGTGCGCATCTTGTTTTACGTGAAATTTTGGTTATGGAACTTGTATCAGAATGCTGAAATTCGTACCTTGTCTAGTGGTCCATTCCTGAAAATGTCAAGGGAGAATATTCATAACCTCCCTGAAACCTAAACAGTTTATCGAAGGAACTTTAGCAACTCTCGAATGTTCATACGGCGTTCTTCCTTAGCACGACGGAAATTAGGCAACGCGAAATGCATCTCGGGTGATTTCGATTAAATTCATCCGATCGACAAAGGCGCGGACTTCGAAAATTCCGTTCGGAAAATAATTTACTCCGAATAAAGTGGGCGCAATCCGTATCATTTAGGAACGGATTTTTCCGAGGTGCAAAACATCGCCGGAATGCGTAATGCCTCACCGGGNGGGGGGGGGGGGGGTTACACCGGCCGGCGTCGCGTCGTTTGGAAGTCCTCCCCCTCCCCCTTCCCCCTGCCTCCTTTAAGATAGAGCTCTATGTTTTCGATATCAGTATGCTGACGAGGTCCCGACAAGCGCCGTCGCGACACGATTTAGTTTTCCTCCGCGTTTCCCGACGACAACCCCCGCCGATGTGGAAAAGCGTCGCGACGCAAAGGCGCATCTCGATTTCCACGCGTGAGTCCTGTTTCACGTCTAAACCCGTGACTTTTGGGGCTCTTGAGAAAATCGAGGTACGTCCTTACGTTAAAAAGCGACGAAGTGCGGCGAGGAAGGGAGGTGAACAACGTCTGTTGAGATCGTTTAAGGGGAACAGCGCCCACGGTTCACCAAAATGCAGAATCGAGTCACTAGCACTGCCGCGCTAAGGAAGAACGCCGTATGAATCTTAAGACGTTGTCGAATTTCCTTCGAGCAAAACCGAATTTACTGGGAAAATTGTAAATACTAGCCGCTCCGGGCGCCCTACGGGCGCCCTCCACAGCTAGCAATGGTGATGCAGTAGCTTATTTGGACTGCATTTTGCAATTTGGAACTATAAATTCTGGCAAATCTGAACAACACATAATGTGCATAGGGAAACTAATAGCACATACGTTGTTTTTAAAGCGGGCCAAAATATTTCCAAATTGCAAAATGCTGTCCATTTGGAATCGGAGCAATTAGTTGAATCCATTTAATAATGATGATAGCCGAAGGAACATGGCGGGAGGGATGGCTGAGAGCGTAGAGGTCCAGTTACACGATCAAATTGAGCCATCAAATTGGGCCTCTCATAGGTCAGAATGGATAAAGGTTCAAAAACGTCCAACCCAATTGGAAGTGTAGAAGTTTGAAGTTGAGGAAGTTTGAAGTAAAAGAAGAAGACAGGTCAGACATCCGGATCCTGAAAAAGGAAGCAATTCAATGTCGCATTGAGTATTTGAACTACATTTTGCACTTCAGAACTACAATTTCTAGCTAATCTGTAAAAGCACTTATGTAGGTATAGAAGAAAACTAAAGGTACATACGTTGTTTCGAAACTGAGCCAGAAATTGTAGCTCCTACTTTCAAAATGTCATTTGAGTGGCATTTGATGAATCAAATTTAATCTATAAGCAGAAACTTACACTTTTCTCACACATTTTCTCCACTTGTAACAAGTGACTCTCAAACGGCCATTTTAAAATGTTGACCACTGACCGTCCTCTAGGTTTTAAAAAAATGTTAAGAGAAATGTGACTCAGCTCTGTGAAGTATTTTGAAGGTCCGGAGTGGGCATACGATGTGGTATCATGCGCAATCGAATGAAAATCTAACTTTTCACCTGTATACTGACAAGTATGCTCGCATCGTTGAATGCAAAAGTGAAGCGGGCAACTATTCGAACTCTGGAATAGGTATGTGATGTGGTATCACGCAGAAATGAAGGGAAAATATTAGCACTTCGTCTGCCTCAAACCTCAAAGTACTACACTGGGAAAAAAAACACATTGGATTTAGAGTCCAGCCTCTTGAAAACATTGACAGAAAAAAATACTCTTGATTTTTGCTTGAATCAAAACGAAATCCGCTTAAATTAAGAGTCTTGGTTCTTGAGTTAAGCTAGATTCTGATTGAATCAAGAAAACTTTTTCTTGTCGATGTTTTTAAGAGTCTGGACTCTAGATCCAATGTGTTTTTTTCCAGTGTATATGATGTGGAAATGAAGGAAAATTTATCGTTTCGCACTGACTTACTGTCATACTTAATTCTTTCTTCGGCAAACTGGTCAACAATAATGTCTTGTGAATTTCGTTGATTTTTTATCTCCGATAGAATTTCAAGCTTTTAATTTTGCTCATTGTTCTCCGAAAAAATGAGGTAGGAACGAAAATTTTGAAACATCGCGATGGAGATACATGTTTTTGCACGCGGGCCGTCGGAATAGTTGTCTGTTCAAATGTTGTTCCCCGTGAACTCCATTAAGGTTGTCTTTTCATTTCTTTACCCCTCTTTTTTTTTAACTCTCGGAAATTTCAGAGTAACGAGCATCCAGTAGACAGGATCAAGATACAAAAGCTCCATTCTTACTTTTTTGGAGGGTACCCTCGCGGTGTGAGGGATAGGGGGGGGGGGGGGGGGGNGGGGGGGGTGTGCTTTTAGCGGAGTGGCTCGAGGACCCTTGGTTATCAATTCGGATAATTCGTCAACCCTCCGACATAACATCGCGACCTCATTTCAAGAAGAGCCCGTTTGTCCTCCTAACTCCATACTTTTCAGGGCTCATGTAGAAATGAGGAACCGCTTTTACGTCCGCTGTAAATTGCTCGGCCTCCCGCTAGGGCGCGCTGCGATCCGAGTGCATTGCACTCAGCCTTGCAGCTGCGGAACCCGCTTAACTCAACCTGCAACGTTGCTCGTAGATACGCTGTTTTATGCCTCGCGAGCGACCCGCTGGAATTAAAAGCATTCTAATCCTGAAATACGCTTCCAAGGCGTCAAGACGCATCATTTCACGTCTGGTCCATCCCGTCGCATCCTTCGCAACCCACCCTCCCTCCCGCACTTTCCTGTGACGGGGACCTTTTTCCTGAGGAGCTGACGCGTTCTGAAAGCTTCGCCGCGCTGGAAGTGGTAGAATGCTATTGTTCATGGTCATTCTTCTTTCGTCTCCGCCGGTATCCCTTCTCCCTAATGGACCAAATGAGTTTGTTGCATACGATATATTCAGCAAGCTAAGTAGACTTTTCCTCGGTAAAATCGTGCGGAAATCATGCTAAGCACACCGGGAATGGGTCATTAGACTATGGATGAAGTTTGACTTGCGGTTACCTTATCCTGAGGATAAATTACGCTTCGAACACGATGCTTATATTAAAAACGCGAAAAGTCAACTCGGAAATCGAGAAATTTGCAGTTCAAGAGGCGTAACTTTTCCGCTAACGGAGAATTTTCACGCAATTTTTTATTTTTTCATCTGAAAGTGCCCGGAGAGCTGATTTTACAGTATTTTTTATAATTTTTTTCTGTTATGAGAAACTAGGGGGCGATGCCCCCTGGCCCGCTATGCGGTCCAAAGAGAGCGCTTCGCGCTCTATTAGGCCTGCTTTGACAAAAGAACGACCAAAAAAATGAAAAGATTTTCCTACTCGACTCTCATTTGTCCAATCTCTCTCTGGTCGGGAGCGATTGAACCAATAAGAGTCCAATAAAAAAATCGGTATTTATTTCAAACTTCTCGCAAAGATTGAAACGAAACGAAACAAAGCGTTTCGTCGCTTTTGGATAGTCTGTAGCAGAGGAGTATACATTCGATTCACTTACAGCTACTAACAGACCAAGATTCAACATTTCCCCCTTAGTTCAATTTTCCGCTTCTGAAATTCCCACCATTTTTTATTGGCGGGAATATCAAATATTGCCCTCCTTTTTAAGTTTTCGGGTCTTCTCTTATATAGCAAAACCTAGGTCCTTTTTCCAAAATCTAATTAAAGCGGGCTCATCTAGGAAATATCACCTGTCGATAACCGCAAAAATCATGGAAATCGGCCCAGTAGAACGCTCAAACAAACTATGACAAAAAATATAAATTTACATTGTTTAAATGGGAGGATTCGCAACTTTACCGCGTGATATAAAACAATTTGGGTTATATATTTTCAAAATCTGAATAAAACGAGCTCATCTAAAGACAATTGCCTGTCGATTGCAGAAAAAATCGAGAAAATCGGCCCGGTAGAACGCTGGAACTAAGCGTTACCGGATATTCAAATTTAGGAGGCCTCAAAGCATATACAGGGTGTCCCAAAAGTCCCTTCCACCCCCTCTAAAATTTTACCTAATTAATATTTTGAAACGAAACTTTGGGGATGTTCATCCTACAACCTACAAACCTAAAGGGTACAAACCTAAGGGGATACTTCACGCATTGCGCAATGCTTGAAGTATCCACTTAGGTTTGTAGGCGCCAATGCGTTGGTCAGTCGCTCGCCGTGCCGCAGCGTGCCACGACGCCTCAAGCAACTGTTTCATCACAGAGAAGTTGCACACTATCATGTGAAATTGTACGCGCTCCAACATATTAAGAATGACAGGCGTCTTTTGACATGATATTCACAAGACATCAAGACATTTTACATTTTCATCCAAAAACGTCGCGAGCAATTGGCATTTGTATTTACATGTGGATCAATCAACTTTGTGTCTCAATTGGTAGGTGGACTAAAACTTTCCTGCCGCGAAAACGCATGGACGTAAACTACTAGAAAAAACAAATGCGCGGACAAAAAAATCTTGACAAAATGTTCTAACCATCATATATACAGGGTGTCCCAAAAGTCCCTTCCACCCCCTCTAAAATTTTACCTAATCAATATTTTGAAACGAAACTTTGGGGATGTTCATCAATCAATGTTAGCTACTTTAGGAGCCCCCCAAAATTTTCGGGCCCCCCCGTGGGGAGGGGCTGCGGACCCCAACTTTTTTTTTTCAAATAGCAACCCCTATCTTGTGATACCTCATTCGAAAGAGCATAAAAAACCAAGAAGTTTGGCGCAAACCGCAAATCAATATCTTAATTTTTGACCGAGTTATGATAGGTCAAAGGTCAAATTTGACCTATTTTCAAAAAATCATAACTCCGGTTCAAATTACCGTATTGAAAAAAATAAAACGGGAAAATTTACCAAATTGTAAGCACTTTTAAGTAAAAATCACAGAAATTACTTCAAACTAATTTTAAGGGGGGTTTCGGACCCCCAAATACGTCAATTCAAAGGTCATTCAATTTTCCGGGAAAATAAGCCAATTTCCCCCAGATTTGCCTCCGTATTATCTCAGTAAGGTCAAAATCAGTTCAACATTACGTTGGCAAGTCCCCAAATTCCGGGAAAAGTTAAAAAAAAAAAAATTTAAGATGATCAAATTTGACCGTTTAATTTTTTTTTTTTTAACTTTTCCCGGAATTTGGGGACTTGCCAACGTAATGTTGAACTGATTTTGACCTTACTGAGATAATACGGAGGCAAATCTGGGGGAAATTGGCTTATTTTCCCGGAAAATTGAATGACCTTTGAATTGACGTATTTGGGGGTCCGAAACCCCCCTTAAAATTAGTTTGAAGTAATTTCTGTGATTTTTACTTAAAAGTGCTTACAATTTGGTAAATTTTCCCGTTTTATTTTTTTCAATACGGTAATTTGAACCGGAGTTATGATTTTTTGAAAATAGGTCAAATTTGACCTTTGACCTATCATAACTCGGTCAAAAATTAAGATATTGATTTGCGGTTTGCGCCAAACTTCTTGGTTTTTTATGCTCTTTCGAATGAGGTATCACAAGATAGGGGTTGCTATTTGAAAAAAAAAAGTTGGGGTCCGCAGCCCCTCCCCACGGGGGGGCCCGAAAATTTTGGGGGGCTCCTAAAGTAGCTAACATTGATTGATGAACATCCCCAAAGTTTCGTTTCAAAATATTGATTAGGTAAAATTTTAGAGGGGGTGGAAGGGACTTTTGGGACACCCTGTATATATGATGGTTAGAACATTTTGTCAAGATTTTTTTGTCCGCGCATTTGTTTTTTCTAGTAGTTTACGTCCATGCGTTTTCGCGGCAGGAAAGTTTTAGTCCACCTACCAATTGAGACACAAAGTTGATTGATCCACATGTAAATACAAATGCCAATTGCTCGCGACGTTTTTGGATGAAAATGTAAAATGTCTTGATGTCTTGTGAATATCATGTCAAAAGACGCCTGTCATTCTTAATATGTTGGAGCGCGTACAATTTCACATGATAGTGTGCAACTTCTCTGTGATGAAACAGTTGCTTGAGGCGTCGTGGCACGCTGCGGCACGGCGAGCGACTGACCAACGCATTGGCGCCTACAAACCTAAGTGGATACTTCAAGCATTGCGCAATGCGTGAAGTATCCCCTTAGGTTTGTAGGGGCCAGTGCGCGTTACGCGCTGGTAGCACGCCGCTTCTGTTAGGTTCTAATATATAAACTCGCGGATTCAGCATTTCTCAGCTCATAAAAAAATAAAACCTGGGTCATATTTTTAAAATCTGAGTAAAGCTGGCTCATCTGCAGACAACCAGTTACGCAAAATTAGGAGGCCTTGGAGCTTACAGTATAGATAGTATAAAAACAGATTTAAAAGTGAGAAAATGCACCGCCTAGTGACGTCATCTGGCGTCATTTCCCATTTAAACGCATGTATTTTAGCAGTGTAGGCTATTTTGTCGTATCTCCTCCAATAATTGGATTGCATTTTGCAAAAAGGAACCAATAGCATTGCAATGTTGCTAAGATTGTGCAACTTCATCCTTTGCAATTATATTACTGAAACCATGCAAAAATATGAAATTTACATGGTAATTATGTCTTAAAATAGTTTATAAGGTGTAAAACAGAAATTGTTTACAGATGATCAGATTTTGTTTTTTAAGACGAAAGAAGTAGTAGAATCTTAGCAACATTGCAATGCTATTGGTTCCTTTTTGCAAAATGCAATCCAATTGTTCATTTTATGAACCAATGATATTCTCGTGTTCAGCTCACTTGGTAGCGTCCACTTGAACCCGGAATTCATCAAATTTCAGGCACATGCGAATTCTCCATTTCGTGCCTTGGTGGCCCTGAAACATGCACCAGAATCCCCAATTTCTCATTTTTTTTTAAATGGTCCATTCTTATGTAAGTGAGAGAGAATGCCTACTTTCCTGTCCTTCAAAAAACCGATTTGGACGGTAAAACAGGAAGGCGAGCAAAATCCGGGATAAGATCGCCGTTCGGAGTCAATGACTCCTGCAGGTCGATTGTTAACTCGTTATCTAATGGTCCCGATCGATAAATTCCTATCTCCGCAATGTTTTTTATCGATCAAGGTCATTCGATATCGATTCGACAATCGAGCCACTGATCTCAATCATTGGTGGATTCAGCAAATTGGCAACATTGTCTTCTCTCCATTTAAACCTATGGAAATTTATCGATTCTTGGAGGGGCCAGGTGCTCCGACAAGAATCGATTATTTATCGTAGGTTCAAATGGAGGAAATCCGATGTTGCCAAATTGCTGGATCCGCCTCTGATCTCAGTATGCACGGAGAATAAAACCTCGTACGCGGGACCCGAAGTTTAGGTCATATGGATCTCTGAAGTTTTCGGATTGAGCATCTGAACACTTTAGGTCTAGATGTCGAGGTTCGGATCACACATCTGAAACTTCAGTTCTTACATCTGTAGTGCTTCAGATGTGAGAACCGAAGTTTTTCGGATGTGAAAACCGAAGTACTTCAGATGTGAGAACTGAAGTTTCAGATGTGTGATCCAAATCCGAGCAGCTGGACCTAAAGTGTTCAGATGCTCAATCCGAAAATTTCAGAGATTCGTATGACCTAAACTTCGGGTCCCACGCACGAAGTTTTTTCCTCCGTGTGACCAAATTTGTTGTGTTTTTCCTAGTTTTTGGCCGGCCCGTTCTCGAATGCTGCATGAGAGGGAAAGATACAACCGGTTCAGTAGTTGTCTCAGACTGACCATTGGCTAGCGAGTTTTTTTTTGAAATTTTTTCTTTCCATGTTTTCAGGTGATGGAACTCCTGCGGTAGCTATTCCCGGTCTAAGAACTTCATTCCCGAACGGAACTCTTCTGTTTCCTCCGTTCTCAGCGGAGAACTACCGGCATGATGTCCACACCGCCATCTACCGGTGCAAGGCCCGAAACCTAGCAGGCATCGCCCTCAGCAGACTCGTTTACATCCGCGCTGGTAAGTGGGCTTAAATCCTCATAATCATGCTCATAATAATGTATATCATCAATGTTGACGTCTCGGTGCATTTATGCCCCTTCAGCTTGGATACATAAATGCTCTGTAGGACTCGTGGGCTTGCAGAAGGGGGGCCTGGCCCCCGGGCCCCCCGCCATGGCCCCCTGCCCATGGCAGTATTGAACGGACCATTTCTGTGTCCTGGGTGATCAAATCAGAATATTTCTTTACTCCTTTTAATGGTACTAGTTTTGTACCGAAATGTACCGTTCGAGAAAAGTTTTGTACCCTTACGATAGGGGAGCTACGGGGGAGGTGGGGTCAAAAATGGGGGGGGGCTGGAGAATGGATCCATTAGTAACACACTCGTTGCAAAACGACGGGAAAGAGCGTACACTACTAACGTGGTGAACGCTGTGTCAAAAATATAAGTGTATGTATATAAGTGTCAAAAATATTCATAACGTTCCTCAAAAATAAGTATTTTCTAAGAGTAAATGTGGCAGCATTGGAATGTCCATACGGTGTTTATCCCGATGCTGCAATCACACGCTGAATTTAGCAGCTGAATTTGGAAATCACCAGTCATCGCCCAACGGCTGAAATTTAGCAAATTCGAGTTATTTTCATCCAGATGTGTATCAAATCTACTCGAATAGTTCAGACAAAGTCAACATTAGTCCGATGGTTGCTGAGAATCGTTGCTGAATTTTGCGCGTGATGCCGCAATCAGACGCCGAATTTAGCACCTGAATGTGGAAGTCAACGGTCATCGCCCAACGGCTGAAATTTAGCAAATTCGAGTTATTTTCATCCAGATGTGTATCAAATCTACTCGAATAGTTCAGACAAATTCAACATTAGTCCGATGGTTGCTAAGAATCGTTGCTGAATTTTGCGCGTGATGCCGCAATCAGACGCTGAATTTAGCACCTGAATGTGGAAGTCAACAGTCATCGCCCAACGGCTGAAATTTAGCAAATTCGAGTTATTTTCATCCAGATGTGTATCAAATCTACTCGAATAGTTCAGACAAAGTCAACATTAGTCCGATGGTTGCTGAGAATCGTTGCTGAATTTTGCGCGTCACGCGCAAAATTCAGGCATTGGGCCGATGACTTCCACATTCAAGCCACATTCAGCTCCCACATTCAGCGTATGATTGCGGCGAAGTGTCGAACTCGCCAAGGAGCGAGGCCTGGAGATGAAGCTCGCCTGAAATACGACTGTCAGTGTAATCGCGGGCGACTGCAGGAGGCCATTTCGGGACGGGGGAGCGGAGTGAATTTAAAAACCCTCAGCGCGGCGCGAGGGGAGGGGGTTGAAACAGATTTGATGCGATCTAATCGGGCCGAAAAATTCATCGCTGGAAGTGGAATGGCGGTGCACCACCCCGGCCCGGCGCACACTGGAGCTAGTCAAAATATGCACGGAGAAAAATGGTATGCTATTTTGGCGCCTAGGATGTCAAAAATGTGGCTAATCATCCTAAGATGCTACCTTGAATGCTCACGCAGTTGAATTGGACGTATTTCTACCAAACAGACCTATGTGGAGGTGAGAAATATGGGGTGTGCTCGTTGAAGCTGCATAAGAAGCAATGTAAAAGTGGGCGTGATTCCTTTTGTAGAATTGGAAAAGCGGGATATTACATTCTATCAAACAGACCTATGTGCTAACTGAATGTGGCAGTCATGAGCCGCGGGCATGGCAAGAGAGCGTTGTGGACAGGACTCATGAGTTAAAGACTCCCTCCAACGATCTCCCCGTCGTGGCGGCTCTCGTTCGTTGCCGCTGACGTCACTGGCGCCTCATTATTCTCATTCACTCTTACGGCCAGAAAACTAACGAGCACACCCCATATTTCTCACTTGCACGTAGGTCTATTTTGTAGAAATACGTCCAATTTAAATTCGTAGAATGTAAAGTTAACTGTGAGGGCAGTAAAGGCAGCATTTTGGGATCACCAGACACATTTTTGGCATCCCAGGTGCTAAAACAGCATACCATTTTTTTCAGTGTGGATGCAAGTGGAGAGATGGGGTGCGCTTGTTAGTTAAGGGCTATAAGGATGAATGGGAATTCAAAGGCGCCAGTGACGTCAGCGGCAACAATCGAGCCCGGACACGACGGAGAGATCGGTGGCGGGACTCTTTAAGTCATGAGCCCTGTCCACAACGCTCTTGTCACATGCCCACGGCTCACGAGTTAGCTCTCAATTCCTTTTGATTTAATATAGAATCCCGTTTTTCTATTATCTCAAAAGGAAATATATCCACTTTTACATTTTTTCTTATGCAGTTTGCACGAGCATACCCCATCTTTCTAATGGACCACTAGACAAGATACGAATTTAAGCAATCTGATACATGTCTCTTAACAAAAATTTCACGCAAAACACGATTCTTGCATCGAAAATTACTGAAATCAACTCCTAATGAAGATATTAACGCTTTTATTTCACATTGGTTACAAGGAATTTAAACTGCCCGCTCACAAGAAACTCAAAGCTCTACGTGGGTCAAATCGCGCACTACAACGGTTTCAGCAATCTTCTCAATCGAGCAATGTTCATTTTCCACCATGTGTTGTTCAAACTATAAGCAATTTGAGCTGAGCCAAAGCGTCAAGACTGAGGTTGCCAGATTTTTATATCGCAGAGACTGTAATGATAAACGCTTAGCGCGCGATGTGAATTACGTAGAGCATTGAGTTTTCATGAGCGGGTTGTTTCAATTCACGCATCAAGAATCATTAAATATCTTCGTTAGGAGATAATTTCGGTAATTTTCGTTGTGCGCATCGTGTTTTACGTGAAATTTTGGTCGAGAAACATGTGTCAGAATGCTGAAATTTGTACCTTGTCTAGTGGTCCATTGCATTTGTGACGAAATAAACATAAAAATTTGAAATTTTAGCCGGAAATTTCCTGTCCGACTTCTTCCGGTAGTTCTTTCCACTGTGCGGCGCGGCGCGGCATGCCCGGGCTTTTACAATAAACACGATAGGACTCGGACGCCGCTCGAATGACAATTAGCGCGCCCGGCTTAAAAGCACCCGCGGGCCGACAACGAAACCGACACCCAGACGACACTGCGGGTGGTATCCGACGGCCTTTGAAGGTGCTGCAGCTGCGTCTCGTACTCCGGTCTCTCCCGCTCTCGATTTTCGGGTTTCCACGGGTGGTAGCATTCGTTTTTTAAGGCGATTTTGTCACAAATCACACTTTACTCTGCTAAAAATGGATCGTATTCGATGCACCAAATGGGTGAGATTGTATCAATATCGATTGGTTTAACACTGGAAAAAAAAACACATTGGATCTAGAGTCCAGACTCTTAAAAACATCTAAAAAAGAAATTACTCTTGATTCAATCAGAATCTAGCTTAAATCAAGAACCAAGCCTCTTAATTTAAGCGGATATCGTTTTGATTAAAGCAAAAATCCGATTGAATCAAGAGTATTTTTTCTTGTCAATGTTTTCAAGAGTCTGGACTCAAGATCCAATGTGTTTTTTTCCAGTGAACGTGTAAACGTAGCCTCAAAAGTCAACTGATTAATCTGAGGAAACGGGTTTCTCGTAACAGGTTTTTGATTCTTACGAGTATAAACAGGGAATGAAAAGTGACATCGGTAGGAATTTTCTCATTTTCAGCTTTTTTTACTTAAATCCTAGAATTTGTGTTCGAGGTTATTATCTATTGTTTTGAACCAAACGATACATCGAATTGCTATCGAATACGATTTATAGGAATTTAGCATCGTATTTATAGTCGTTCCATATAAACTGTTGAGAAACGAGGAGTGAAAGTCGGCGCCGGAGTCTATACAGGGTGTACCAAAAGTCCGTCCCACCCCTGCTAACTTTTGAACGAATTGAGCTACGGAAATGAAACTTTGGGAATGTTCCTATCTCAAAGGGGACCATCTTTTAGGGGGGTCCAAATTTTGGTCCCCCCTCAGGGGGGGCTCGGGGGGCCTCCAACTTTTTTTTTTCAAATGGCAACCCCTATCTTGTGATACCTCATTCGAAAGAGCATAAAAAACTAAGAATTTTGGCGCAAACCGCAGATCAATATCTTAATTTTTGACCGAGTTATGATAGGTCAAAGGTCAAATTTGAAGTATTTTCAAAAAATCATAACTCCGGTTCAAATTATCGTAAAGAAAAAAATAAAACGGGAAAATTTACCAAATTGTGTCCGCTTTTAAGTAAAAATTGCAGAAATCACTTCGATTTAATTTTAAGGGGGGGTTCGGACCCCCCAAATACGTCAATTCAAAGGTCATTCAATTTTCCCGCGAAATAAGCCAATTTCCCCTAGATTTGCCTCCACATTATCTCAGTAGGTCGAAATCAGTTCAAAATTACGTTGGCAAGTCCTCAAATTTCGGGAAAAGTTTAAAAAAAACGAAATTTAAGGTGATTAAATTTGACCGTTTAAATTTCGTTTTTTTTAAACTTTTCCCGAATTTGAGGACTTGCCAACGTAATTTTGAACTGATTTCGACCTACTGAGATAATGTGGAGGCAAATCTAGGGGAAATTGGCTTATTTCGCGGGAAAATTGAATGACCTTTGAATTGACGTATTTGGGGGGTCCGAACCCCCCCTTAAAATTAAATCGAAGTGATTTCTGCAATTTTTACTTAAAAGCGGACACAATTTGGTAAATTTTCCCGTTTTGATTTTTTTCTTTACGATAATTTGAACCGGAGTTATGATTTTTTGAAAATACTTCAAATTTGACCTTTGACCTATCATAACTCGGTCAAAATTAAGATATTGATCTGCGGATTGCGCCAAAATTCTTAGTTTTTTATGCTCTTTCGAATGAGGTATCACGAGATAGGGGTTGCCATTTGAAAAAAAAAAGTTGGGGGCCCCCCGAGCCCCCCCTGAGGGGGGACCAAAATTTGGACCCCCCTAAAAGATGGTCCCCTTTGAGATAGGAACATTCCCAAAGTTTCATTTCCGTAGCTCAATTCATTCAAAAGT